TTTCTGAAGAAGGGTCTAGACCCGAAACATCAGCTTTCCTGCTCCTCTGATGCTGCTTGGCCTGCTGTGTTCATCCAGCTCTACACCTTGTTATCTCAGATTCTCCAGCATCGGCAGTTCCTACTATCTCGAGTTCATTATGTAGTTCATTCACTGTTGCCAGAAGGGATATGCATTCAAATGCAGTAATCTGTCCACTTCGAACAAAAATAGTATTTTAAACCCTGTACACTTTAAAAAATTTGCTCAGGAGTTTGAGAAGTAACATAGAAGTAACGAAGAGGATTGGTGAGGGCAGGGTAGTGGACGTGATCTATATGGACTTCAGTAAGGCATTCGACAAGGTTCCTCATGGCAGACTGGTTAGCAAGGTTACATCACACGGAATACAGGGAGAACTAGCCATTTGGATACAGAACTGGCTCAAAGGTAGAAGACAAGAAGGTGGTGATGGAGTGTTGCTTTTCAGACTGGAGACTTGTGACTAGCAGTGTGCCCCAAGGATCGGTGCTGGGCGCACTGCTTTTTGTCATTTATGTAAAATGATTTCGATTCCTGCTTTAGAACATAGAAGGTATGGTTAGTAAGTTTGCAGATGACACCAAAATTGGTGTAGTGGACAGTGAAGAAGGTTACCTCAGCGTACAACAGGATCTTGGTCAATGGACAATGGGCTGAGAAGTAGCAGATGGAGTTTAATTTAGATAAATGTGAGATACTGCATTTTGGAAAGGCAAACCAGGGCAGGATTTTTGCACTTAATGGTAAGATCCTGGGGAGTGTTGCTGAACAAAGTGACCTTGGAGTGCAGGTTCATAGTTCCTTGAAAGTGGAGTCGCAGGTAGACAAGATAGTGAAGAAGGTGTTTGGTATGCTTGCCTTTATTGGTCAGTGCATTGAATATAGGAGTTGTGGCATTATGTTGTGCCTTTACGAAACATCGGTTAGGTCACTTTTGGAATACTGCATGCAATTCTGGCCTCCCTCCTACATGAAGGATGTTGTGAAACTTGAAAGGATTCAGAAAAGATTTAGAAGGTTGTTGTCAGGGTTGGAGGGTTTGAGCTATAGGCAGAGGCTAAAGGGGCTGGGGCTATTTTCCCTGGAGCGTCAGAGGCTGAGGGGTGACCTTTATAGAGGTTTATAAAATCATGAGGGGCGTGGATATGGTGAATAGCCAAGGATTTTTCCCTGGGGTGGGGGAGTCCAAAAGTAGAGGGCACGGGTTTAAGGTGAGAGGAGAAAGATTTAAAAGGGACCTAAGGGACAACTTGTTTACACAGCGGGTAGTGCTTGTATGGAATGAGATGCCAGAGAAAGTGGTGGAGGCTGGTACAATAAGCAACATTTAAAAGACTTCTGGATAGGTATATGAAAAGGAAGGGTTTAGAGGGATATGGGCCAAATGCTGGCAAATGGGACTAGTTTAATTTAGGATATCTGGTCGGCATGGATGCATTGGAGTGAAGGGTCTGCTTCCGTGCTGTACGACTCTATGATTCTAAGTAATGTTTCCATGTTATTTTCTTTATGGCAACACCTTGGCTAATGGAACTGCCTTTCAAAACAATCAGTGTCTTTTTATTTGTAGTACAAATATTTGAAATTGAAAGTTTGTTTTGAAAGTTCAGGATAACAAGCTTCAGTAACATTATTCTTTATTGAAATTCCAAACAACAGATTGGTGTTAGGATAGTTGACTGAAATCTTGGTTAAAGAGCGATGTTTTGAGCCTCATCATAAGGAAGAAAGAGACGTGAAGAAGTTTAGGAAGGAGTTCCAGAGCTTGAAGTCTTTCCACATGAAGACATCCCTTATGGTTGTGGGAGTGATTAAAATTAAGGATGAACAAGAGTACGAGAATTGGAGAAGTGTAGAGATCTCACAGGGTTGAAAGGTCAGAGAAGGTTACAGAGATAAAGAGGCCATGGTGAGATCTGAAACTAATGAGATCTTGCCAGACCAAGCACACAGGTTAAATTACATAAAGGGAAAACGGGCTAGGCATGAGATGGGCTATGGGCAGCAAAATTTGGAATGCATTGAAGTTTGAGCAAGGTGCAAGATGAGAGACTTAACTAGGAGAGCATTGGAATAGTTAAATAAGCAAGTGAGGGAGAAGAAGGGATTATGTTGGTGGTGTTCGATGAAACATAGGATAAGCCACTGTCGAGCTGCTTAACTTAGTTATTTTCATGCTGTACGTTCTTTGTAAGTCAAAATGCATTTTAGAAAGTCTTGTTGGATGGACACTAACAAAATAGTCTTACTTTCTTTTTAATTCTCAGAAAGCAAGGTGACGTTGAAAGACAGTCCAAGTTTTGTGGAAGTAGTACGTAATGAAAATGGTCTTCTAGAATGCGAAATTGCTGAATTCACCGGATCCAAAATGACTCTGCAGAACTCGAGCGTTTTATGGTCTTTCACTAGTCGTGCTGAAAAATCAAATGCCTTTGTCTACACTTCTGGAGTAATAAGAGAGAAATGGAAAGAAGCAGAGCTATTGAGCAGCTCTATTACACGTGGAAACATGTCACTGTTGCTAAAAGATGTTGTTTATAAACATGCTGGACAATACCAATGCGAAGTTTACATTCCACCAAATGATAAAGCCACTAAGACAGTAACACTTGAAGTTTTAGGTAAAAAGATTTATTTTTTGTATTGTAAATCATTCCACATTTCGGTGCAATACAATGCCATCAGTTTAATATATTTTAACAATATGTCTTTTTAGCTTTGGAAGTGTAATCTTACCAAGAAAATATCCTCAAACATAAAGTACTGTGAATGCTGGAAATACTTAGCAGGTCAGGCAAAATCTTAGGATGAAAATAGCATTAAAGTGTCAGGTTGATTATCTGTCATCAAAAGTTATTTTTAAAAAATAGTAAATGGTTTGCTCGTAGTGTTAAATACTTTTTGATTATATCAGTGTACTCATTAATGATCCAGTAATGCCTGTGTTTACAAGTTGCTATCTGAACTATCAATTCTCAACCAGGTATTGAAAGTTTATTTGCATGATGCATTGTAAATTGGCATTTTTGACTGAACCAAAAGTAGCAAATTCAGTAAAGTGCTTGAGTTTGTGGGGAGGGAAAATGTCTTTTGGTGAAGATGCCTATACAATCTGTGATTAAGAATGTTGCATTTAAAATTAAAGTTTAGAAAGCATTTTTGCAGCTTTCATCCCAGCAGAGGTGAAAGGGAATTTTAGAGATTTTCCTTCTCCTTCACTTGCATGCCAGGGTCATCTGTTCCTTCTGATATACCACAACTGGTACAATAGTAGGAATTAATAACAAATTCTTTTCATTTTTCAACTAGCCATGCAGTATTTAAGTCCCACTGCACGTTTCCGAAATAGCCCCTTTATTAACTTGGGGTGTTGGTTTATTGTCTGATCTGAATGATGATACCTCCAACAGTATTACATGGAACTTTTTGTTACGTTGAAGACATTTATCACGTCACCTTTTAGCGTTCACACTTCTAGGGGGAAAAAAAAGGTCTGTTAGGTATTCCAGGTGTTTAGAACCTCTCGGTTGCAGTAACATCCTTGTGAATATATCTGTTATTATAATGTGGAAACCAGAAATAGACACATTACTCAAAAATGAGATCATTATCAGATTACTATGCAAATTTAACACCCTTTTACAATTCTAAATTTCTAGAAATGCATCTCAGTGCTTGAGATGTGGCCTCTTAATGATTATCTGCAAGCCCCAAAACCTCTTTCTCCTCTATCCCACTTTGACTTTATCTAGCCTGTATGTGGGCCTTATGTTCTTATTAAAATGCGATCTCATACTTATCTGAATTCATTCCCTGTGTGTTAATTTGGATGCAAGTTCATTAACATATATTTTAGACACATCCTTCATTTTCTGTTTTTTGCACTGTCATTTGCAAATTTCAAAATTGTATTTCTGGTTCCAGAGTACAAATTGCTAATGTACATTATGAACAACAGTGGCTCCAATGCCAGTCTCTGAGGAACACCACTTCTTACTGTTTGCCTGTCTGATCTGCAACTCCTAATCCATATGTTCTGCTAGCCACTCAGCCACCTGTGAACTTCCTTTCTAAACATGAGAACATTATTACTTGTCCTGTAGTTCTGTGGTACTCTTTCCTTTATTGATGTTTGTTAACTGAGATATATTTATTTAATAGTGGTTCTGCTGTTTCTTTACTATGCATAGATCCAATCAATGCATTAGTTTTGAAGTATAGTTGCAATTATTAGTGATACTAACATGACTTTTGTATTTTTGGTAGCACGACCTACAGTAATAGTGACTTCAGAAAAAACTGTGGAAGTTGGAACAGGTGGCGAGATGGCTTTAAGTTGTCAGTTAAGTGGATATTATCCTTGTGAAAGCAATACTGAATGGTTACAGACAACCCCAGCACAAGGAAAACCAAAAGTGTTGACTGATATTTGCATTGCCCCACCAGTCAAAAACCTTGATGGAACATGTAACATAAGCACTGAAGTTAGATTAGAGCCTGGAGTAGAAGACATTGGGAGCACTTTCACATGCCGTGTCTTTCATAAGTCTTTTACAAAACCATACCAGGTAGAAGCTTTGGTGACTTTGAAAGGTGAGTTGCAATAATTTTAGCTTTTCTTTATTAAAATACGAAGTCTAAAGCATTTTGGTTAAATTCATTTTAACTTTTAACTTTTCTTGGGGACGTAATCAAATGTGAAGCTTTTGTAATGGATTCGTTTGATACTGACAGGCTAGTGAAAGTTTAATTTCCTTGTGTGCTTAACATTTATTTTTACAAAACATTTTAACTTGAAATAACACTCGATTAACTTCTATAAATGTGAGCACATTAGATTGCATGTATATTGTGAGTAATAACCGTTACTTTACTATGGTTTTGTGCATGTTATATGTTTTAAGTACAGGTAGTCCCTGAATTAGAATACTCATATTTACCAGTGCCATCCCACATGTGGTTTTAATTTTAAAGACCTGACATGTGAACCCTTCCTGTAAGAAAAGCTGCTTCCAATTGCCCTCCATTGTGTTCCGACTTGCAAGCGATTTGACTTGTGGACTCCAGAATGGAACACGTTTGCAGCTGGGGCTTGCCTGCGTTATTTGTGTTCAATCTAATAAATTAGACACGTATTCCATACTAAATACCTATTTATGCCATACATGTGATTTGACGACTTTTCAGAATTCTTGGAAAAAGTTTAATTGTACCTTGTTGAACGGATTTTAATTTTCCATTTAATTGCGTTGACAAATCTTTCTGGTGGAAAAGTAGCCAATGATAGTTCCCATAGATTGGAATCAATTTTAATGAAGATGATTAAAGTTTAAAATTAAATATGGTATACAGCACTAAATGAAGCCAAATGGCCGAACAATAATGTTAGTGGTTGTTGATTTGCTCGCCGAGCTGGTAAGTTTGTTCACAAACATTTCATCACCGTGCAACGTAACATCATCAGTGCGCCTCTGGTGAAGCGTCAGTGGTCCTAAGGGGATTATATTGTCCCAGTCGAATTGCTGTTTCTCTTTGTTCATGTGTATTGAAATGAGATACACATGGACAAAGAGGGACACTAATTCGACTGGGACAATGTAGCCAAGGAACGACACGCACGAGAATTCCTGGAGGCTTGGTGCTCAAACCAGAACTCCATTAACAAACATGTCAGCTGGACCCCATATACCAATCACTAAGAAACAAATCTGGAAGTGATGCCACCCACCCCAACAAACCAAGACACAAATAGCAAGTGGGACAGAACACTGACGCTTCACCAGAGGTGCACTGATGATGTTACCTAGCATGGTGATGAAATGTTTGCAAACAAACTTACCAGCTCGGTGAGCAAGTCAACAACCCGAGCTACAAATCTTCTCAAAAACCTTGAATACTGTTACTATTTATAACCATGTTAGTTTTCTCCCATTTTTATCTGCCTTAGCTCGCCCTTTTAAGTATATATTTTCTTAGCTTTTTCAATTGTGTACTTGTCTAGTTGCCTTTTTAAGAGCACCTAAAATCTGTGTCACTTGCTGTGGCAGAGAGTTCCTCATTTCAACCACTTTCTTGACCGAAGAAATTTTATTTATTTTCTCATTGGATTTATTAGTCACTTCCTTGTACTTGTGGTTCTTAGTTTTCAATCCTCCTGCAAGTGAAATTATTGTTTCCATTTCTACCTTGTCCGAACCGCTTATAATTTTAAAGACCTCTTTAAGGCCACTTGTTTTTTGAAAGGTGAAGGCCCCAACCTATTAAATCTTTTCTCAATTAATGTGATCTCAGTTCTGTTACCATGCTTGTAAACATACTTTACACTTTCTATGGTACTTCTATATCCTTTTTTGTAATAGGCTACCAGAGCTATGCATTCTGCATGCAGCCTGACCAGGTTCCTATACACATTTAACAAATGTATCACCTTCTAAAACCAATCCCGTGGTTTACCTGCCACATTTAATAGTTTTGTTCCCATGCTGTCTTCATTGATTTGTTCACCTATTTCCCTGGATCCCTTTGTACTTTCACTCCATTTAAAAGAAATAAACTGCAGGTGACATTTCTGTATTTTTGTTCAATTGAGTTCGTTGCATTTATTGATGTCAGGTAACAATCTGCTCTTCAGGTTTTCAGATTTGATGTTCTGTTGCATTTTTTTTAGTGTCAGCTAAGCTTACTATTTTATATCCTTTGCAAATTTTGATTTGAAATTTCTTATTCCTCAGCCTAAAGCATCAGTTTTCTTTCAAATGCATTCACGAAACGCGAGTGTGCTGGCTGAGCCAGTATTTATTGCCCATCCCTGGTTGCCTTTAAAATGGTGGTGAGCTGCCTTCTGAAACCCCTGCAGTACATTTGTTGTAGGTGGACCCACAATGACTTTAGGAAGGGAGGACCAAGCTTTTGAATCGGTGACATTGAAGAAATGCAAATTATGAGTAACATTGATCCTACATTGATTTTTGTGTAAATGCACTTCCATTAGAAATGTCCTGTTTTCCAAGTATTACAACTGGATTTAAAACAATGAGATGTACGTGTGTAAAAATTAGTACCTTGTTTTTGTGCATATTAATTGGTTTGCCCAGAACTGAGGTAAGTATTTCTCTATTATACTTCACACAATAATACAGTATTACACTAGTGGACCTATTAAAATAGTTAAGTGTAAGAAATATGTAACTTTTCTTTTGCAGAAGCAGAAATTCATTTGTCCAAAGCTTCAATAATCGGAAGCATCATTGGGAGCATCGTTACTTCTGTTCTTGTACTCGGACTAGGAATTTATTTCTATATGCGATTCTATTATAAAGGTAAAGCCACATTCTGGGTCTCGTGCGCTACTTCAGACACTTTGGGGGATAAACCTGGAGCAAATTGACTCAAAGGAAGGTTGTTTATGGGTTGGGAGAGAGCATATTGAAAGAGCTGCTGTTGCAGCAAAGTCATAGATTTAGCAATGAAATCTCAAACTTGCTACCCTTTCATTTTTCTGTTTTCACGTTATGATAGTCGTTATTAAATGGAAACGATTAGTCTGCCAACAAAGAGGGTTTAATTAAAATGCAAGCTAAAAATGAAATGTGTAATTTGGATAGTTTCATAAGGGCTCTGCTTGGTATATTTGTTTTACCTTTATTAACTCCTCATCTAACTTTTTCTTTGCTGCTGCAGAGTGCTTCTGTTACTCCACCCTAACATTTGCGCTGTCTTACTATACTTTGATCTTTGATCTTGTACTGATGTTGCTGATAGCAATTGCTCAATACATTCTGGAGTTTACAGTCAATGGATTCTTGAATGTTTAAAAGGGAAGGGAAGTTCAAAAGTACTAATTGTTCATTTAAAATCTACTTTTTAAGAGGAAGTGAGGATCTTGCTTTCAGTTAGTTAATAATTTTTCCAAAATATATTTTTTTTTCTGCTAATGTGAATGGTATCAGATAAGGTCTCTGTAGCTGCTGAGCTGTTCTGGTAACACGAGTTATGTTTTAGAGTGTGGTCCACGTTTACTCCATTACCAAAAATAGAAAGCACAACTTCAAGTTGACTTGCAGATCCTTTGACATGGCAAAATCATTTTGTATCCTTGAGTGCAGATACATGATTATCTTTGTCATTTCTCATTTGCTCATTTTTAAAAACAAGGTAGTTGTGTTTTATTTTGCAATTTCTTTTCTGTGCCATTGTGTGAGTTCCTTCTCTAGTTCCCTTTTCTGTTGCTCTTTTATCCCCCTCATCTGTAAACTTCTAAATATTATTTTGATCTGCAGCATTGTTGCCCTTGACTCTGTTGAAATCACACATTTTCAGAGAACATTTTTTAATCGCTTTTTTTGAAATTCTGTTTTGTACTTTGCCTATTTATTTTTGTGGTCCCCTGTTTACTGTATCACTACCTTTCTGTAAACTCTAAGTTACCATAGGAGATGTTTTGCATGTACTTGGTGCAGTGAAATTGTAACTCTGTTCTTCATAAAAATGCCATTTCTCACTCTCAGAAAAACACTCCACCCTCCAATAATCACTTAATTCAAACACATGCCACATTGTGAGAATCTTAATATGCAAGCAGTTCATTCTAGGGTTAGTGTAAAGAACAGTTTACTTAATGGTTACTAATTACAAAAGTCCCTGTTCTGACTGAATAATTCCATAAGAGATCTACTGGTATTGTAATTTTTAAGGTGGTTTTTGGCAAACTTCAGCGAACCTTAAACGTGAGAATTAAAACAACTAACAATCAATTTTACAATTAATTGAGAAGTTTTAAAACTGGTAAGAATTTTCAGGAAGTGCAAAAGATCACGTGAAAAATCCTACTTGACATTGTTTTTCAATTCCTAGTTGCACCAAATGTGTCAGAAATTCAAAAACCTATGCAAGTTATACACCAAGAACCTGCAGAACTTACTTGCCAAGTGTCTGGATTTCGACCTAGTGTTATTACTATTGCCTGGTATTTGAAGAGATTGAAAGATGCTGAAATGAAGTTGATTGCTGAATGGCAGGAAGACAACGTATTGCGTTTCCCTTTGAGCAAGGCCAAGAAAATAGAAAAGGCTGTAAAAAGGAATGAAACTGATGATGATTGGAAAGTCAGGGCAGGCAGTATCCAGAAAAGTGATGATGGAACTTTCAGCATTTCCAGCATTCTCAAGATTTATCCTGACATTTTTATGGACAGTGAAGCAGAAATCACATGTAAGGTGATGCATCCATCTAACAGTGAAGCCATTTGTAAAAAGATCAAACTCCATGTTGATGGAAGTAAGTTTCTTTTAATGAATCGATCAAAAGACATAATTCTGTGAAGTAGAATATATGGACTCTAATGTTCTAATTGATCACAATTACAGTGTCCACTGCCATCATGGCAGATGATGCAAATGAGCTTCTAAGAGTGTTGTTTTGTATCTGTCTGTCCTGTCTCTGCCTCCATTCCTACTGTATTTGCAATATCATATTCCTATTGCTGGCGTATAACTGGAGATGAGGCTGTGACAAAAAAGTTTTTTTTAAGAAAAAACATATATTTTTCCCTTTGTATGAAAGAGATCCTGGAATTTTGGAAAAATAGGGCTGGAATTTAAATCTCTAACTCTTTCCCCAAACAGCTGTTAGCATTTGAAATAAAAGAGATGCACTAGTGGTACTAATTCAGATAAATAAATACAATCTAGTGGCTATAATTGAGATCTAGGATGACCTAGATTGGGAGCTAAATATTGAAGTAGCTAGTGATATGGTTGATGCATTGGTTTTAATTTTCAAAAACTCATTGGATTCAGGGAAGATTCCTTCACATTTGTAAACAGTGAATGTAACTTCTCTAGATGGGCACTTGAATATTGTAGGGCATTTGATGTTTTAGGAAGAACAGGAAGGTAGGAAAGGAGTGGCTCTGTTGATTACAAATAATCTTAGCACAATAGATAGGAATGACCTAAATTCAGAAAACCAGGATATAGAAGCGGCCTGGGTACAGATGAGGAACCGTGAAGGTAAGAGATTGCTTGTGGGTATTGTGTACAGGTGCACTAACAGTAACCACATGGTGGGACAGGGTTTCAAGGAAGAACTAACGGAAGGTTGTCAAAACAGTACAGCAATTATTGTAGGGAATTTTAACCTATATAGACTGGAAAAAAATCAAGTGAGAAAATATAGTCTATAGGAGGAATTCATTGAATGTTTTCAGGATAGTTTCTTCGATCAGTATGTTATGACACCAGACCGACGGCAGGCTGTGCTGGACCTGGTTTTGACCAATGAGATAGGATTAATTATTGATCTCATAGTGAAAGTTCCCTTGGGTAGCAGTGGGCAAAATATGATTGAATTTAGCATACAGTTTAAGGGAGAGTTTAAACAAGGGCATTTATGAGGGTATGAATGCAGAGCCTATGAAAGTGAACTTACAATTTACGTTAAGCTACGTTAAGGTCATAGAGATGCAGTGGCAAACATTTACAGGGATATTCCAGAAGGTTTAGCATAGCCTGCTGTCTGACCAATGCCATAACATACTGATCGAAGAATATATACTTTCCAACAAATAAGAAAAATTTTGTGGGATGGACCCTCCATCATGGTTACTAAAAAAGGGCAAACATAGTATCGCTGCCTTGGGAAAGCAGCTAACATAATCAAAGACCCCTCCCACCTTAGTTATACACTTTTCCACCCTCTTCCATCGAGCAGAAGATACAAAAGTTGAAAGCACGTACCAACAGCTTCAAGAACAGCTTCTTCCCCTCTTTTCAGACTTGTGAACAGACCTCTCATATTAGAGCACCTTCTCTGTAGCTGTGTCACCATATTCTGCATTCTGTTCTATTGCTTATTTAAGGTATGATTTGTCTGGATAAATGCAAAACAATGTGACAATAATAATTCAAATCAAGTTCAAAGAAAAGGCACATAATTCTGCAAAGGTAGCTGGCAGGTTGCAAAAAGTATTAAAAACAACAAAGAATTACTAAATGTTTAATGAGCAGGGAAAAAATGACAGTGAGAGAAAGTTAGCCAATAATACAAACAGGAATTTTTTTTTTTCAGATAAAAAAGAAAGAGAAACACTAACAAAGTAAGAGTTTGTCCTATAGCAAATGTGTCTGGGGAATTAGGAAGGGAGGATAAAGAGATGGCAGGCAACTAACTAGGGTATTTTGATTCCTCTCTAATGAAGAGTGTACAAGTAACACTCTGGAAATAGCTGTAAATAAGGAATTGAAAAGGGGAGAGGAACTCAAAATTGCAATTACCAGGGAGGTAGGACTGAGTTAGTTGTTGGAACTGATTAATTTGATTAGACTGATTATTGAAACTGTGAGTTGACAAGTCCCCAAATTCTGATCAATTTCATCCTAAGGTTTTAAAAAAAAGTAGTTAGGGTGGCACAGTGGTTTAGTGGTTAATTCTGCTGCCTCACAATGCCAGGGACCCGGTTTTGATTCCAGCCTTGGGTGACTGTGTCTGTCTGTGTGGAGTTTGAATGTTCTCCCTGTGTCTGCATGGGTTTCCTCCAGGTGCTTTGGTTTCCTCCCACAGTCCAAAGATGTACAGGTTAGGTCGATTGGCCATGCTAAATTGCTGTGTATTGTCCAGGGATGTGTAGGCTTGGTGGATTAGCCGTGTAAATTTCAGGCTTACAGGGTTGGGGTGTGGGAATGTGTCTGAGTGGAATGCTGTTTGGAGGGTCGGTGTAGACTCTATGGTCTGAATGGCCTGCTTCCACGCTGTAGGGATTTTGAGACGATTGATGCATTGGTTTTAATTTTGAAAACTGATTGGATTCAGGGAAGATTCCTTCACATTAGAAAACAACCAGTGTAACTCCTTTAGTCAAAAAGAGAGGGAGGGAGGCAGAAAGTATGAATATACAGTCCAGTTAGCTTAATGTCTGTCATAAGGGCACATGGAAAAGTTCAAGGTAATCAGGCAGAGCCAACAAGATTTTGTCAACAGGAATCATGTTTAAGTAATTTTATTGGAGTTTTTTGAGGAAGTATCTTGGGTTTTAGATAAAGAGGAACCCGTTGATTTATCGCACTGAGATTTCCAAAAGGCATTTATTAAGGTTAAAAAAAATGTCAAAGGCTATTGCAGAAGATAAGAGCTCATGATGTGGGGGATAACGTTAGCATGGATAGAAGATTGCAAGGTTATCAGGAAGCTGAGAGGAGGAATAAACATGTCTTCTTCAGACTGGCAGGATATCACAACTCTTAAATGTTTTTGATGAAGAGATTGAGGTTATGCCAGCTAAACTTGCTGGTGACACAAAGATATATAAGGAGGTGAGTTGTGAAGAGGATCTAAGCATACAAAGAGATATAAATAGATTAAATGATTGGGCAAAGGTCTGTCAAATGGAGTAAAATGTAGGAAAGTGTTATATTGTCCATTTTGGCGGAAAGAATAAAAAAGTATATTTAAATGCTGAAAGGTTGCCGAGCTCTGAGGTGCAGAGGGATCTGGGCGTCCTAATGCATGAATCACAAAATGTTAGTATGCAGGTACAGCAAGAAATCAAAGCTGATAGAATGTAATGTTTTATTATGAAGGGATTAAATGTAAGAGTATGAAGTAGTATTTCAGCTATACAGGTACTGGTATCCGGAGTAGTGTGTACAGTACTGGTCACCATGTTTATGGAAGGATGTTAATGAGTTGGAGACAACAAGGTGCAGGGCTGGATGAACACAGCAGGCCAAGCAGCATCATAGGGGC